TCATTTCTTTTCATTTCTGAGTAGGTATGCCATTGTAAGAATATACCACAGTTTATCCATTCTCCCACTGAGAAACATTTAGGATGTTTGTATTTTTTGGCCTTTATCAACAGAGCTGCTATGTGATTTTCATACAGGTGTTTATGTGGACATTTGCTTTCATTTCCTTTGAGTAAGCATCTAGGAGTAGAATTAACAGGTCATAGAGTAGGAGTATGTATAACTCTATAATAAATTGCCTATTTTCCAAAAGGGTTTTATCAGTTTTCATTATACTAGTAATGTATGAGAGTTCTAGGTGTTCCATATCTTTGCCTACATCTGTGCTTTCTGTCTTTTAAATTTTAACCATTCTAGTGCTGTGTAGTAGTATCTCATTGTTTTAATTTAAATTAATGTGCTTATTAACCATTCAAATATCTTCTTTTGTGAAGTCTCTCAAATCTTTTGACTTTTTTTTATAACTTGGGTTATTTATCTTTATATTATTTATTTTAGGTGTTTTTAAAAAGTATATTCTGGATACAAGCCCTTTGTTGGATGTGTACATGGGGAGGAGGGGTTATTTGCATGTGGAGCGTTGCTTGTGGAAAGAGAGAAAGTTGAGAGAGAGAGAGAGAATATGAATTTTTCTTCCAGGATGTGGTTGGGTTTTTCATTTCTTTTCATTCTGTGAATGGTGTCTTTATAAGTGCAAATGCTTTTAAATTTGATGAAGTACAATTTATCTTTTTCTTTTCCGATTTATGTTTTTGTTTGTTCTAAGAAAACTTTGCTTACCCCAGGTTTGTGAAAATATCTTACTATGTTTTCTTTAAGAAGTTTTATAATTTTAGCTTTTCCATAGGCCCATAATTCATCTCAAATTCATTTTTAAGTAAGATGTGAAGGAGGAGCCAAGACTCACTTTTTTTCCATGTAGATATCCCAGTTGTCTGGCACTATTTGTTGAAAAAATTATTCTTTCCCTTTTTTAATTGCTTTGATATCTTTAAGGAAAATCAATTAACCATGTAAGTGTGGTATTTTCTTGGACTCTATTCTTTTCCATTGATTGGCTTTTCTACCTGTATGCATATAACACACAGTCTTGATTACATACTGGGGCTTTCTAGCAAGGTTTGAAATCAGGTAGTATGAGTCTTCTTAATATTCTTTTCAAGATTGCATTGACAATTTAAGGTCCTGTGCATCTCCATATACAACTTAAAATTTGTCCATTTCTACTAAAATGTTTTCCAGGATTGTACTGAATTTATAGATCATCTGGGGAGAATTGACATCTTACAATTTGAGTCTTCCTACTCATGAATATGGTGTAGCTATTCTTTTGTTGTTTTGGAGGAAGATTAGCTCTAAGCCAACATCTGCCATCAATCCTGTTCTTTTTGCTGAGGAAGATTGGCTCTGAGCTAACATCCATGCCCATCTTCCTATATTTTATATGTGGGACGCCTGCCACAGCATGGCTTGATGAGTGGTGCTAGGTCGGCGCCTGGGATCTGAACCCATGAACCTTGGGCCGCCAAAGCAGAGTGTGCCAACTTAACTGCCTCACCACCAGGCTGGCTCAAGCTCTTTTACTTTTTTAAAGCAATGTTTGATAGTTACTAAGGAGATCTTGCACATCTTAATGTTAACATTTATCCCTAAATATTTTACATTTTTTACATTGTGGCGAATGGAAGGTTTTTTAAATTAAATTTTTCTAAAGTTTGTTGCTAATATATGGAAATATGTATATATATATATTTTTCCCTCCAAGAATGGGCTTGAAGGGTAATAAGGCCTAGAAAGACCTATTTTAATAAACACTGACAGATTTCCTTCCAGAATGACTGTACCAGCTTCTACTTTCACCAGCCATCCATCAGTGTTTCCACATTGTTAACAGCACTTTACATTACCCCAATCTTCTGATTTTTGCTATTCTGATGAGTATAGTCATGTAACTTCTTAGTTTTAATTTTTATTCCTCTGGTTATATAACTGAGCATCTCTTCATATGGATTTAGCATTAAGCATCATTCCTGTGAACTATCTATGTATATTATTTTTCTATTGCATTTATATTTCTTTTTCATTGGGTTAACTGACTTTATATTGTTCATTTGCAGGAGTTCTTTTTATATTTAGGTAGTAAGCTATTGTTAGTTTTAGGAGCTGAAAATAGTATGTCCATCTCTATAATCTGTTAACCTTTCCTATAAATTCCTCCATAGGGAGGAATATTTAATCTAACACAGTCAAGTCAATCAATTGCCACATAATTTATACTATTTGTATCTTTTTAGAGAAGTCTTTCTTTATTGCTAAGTTCCAAAGATATTCTTAATCATTTTATTAGATCAGTTCCATAGCTTTACCTTTCACATTTGAGTCTTTAAAACTTCTGAATTCCCTTTGAACATTGTAAAGGTTGTATATGGTTTACATATAGCCCTGTTGTTTTCTCAATGCTAGTTTCCTGAATTCTATTTACCAACAATCTGACTTTTCCCACCTTTATCATATATTACATTCAAATATAGCCATAGGTCTATTCCTGAACTCACTACACATATCCATTGGTCTATTTATCCAAGCCTGTGCTAGCACCACAAAATGTACTTTAGCTTTGAAGTAAGTCTTTTTTTTTTTTTTTTTTTTTTTTTGGTGAAGAAGATTGTCCCTGAGCTAAAACCTGTGACAATCTTCCTCTGTTATGTATGTGGGATCCTGCCACAGCCTGGCTTGATGAGTGGTGTGTAGGTCTGTGCTGGCGATCCAAACTTGAGAACCCCAGTCTGCCGAAGCGGAGTGCACAAACTTAATTAATACACCACCTGGCTGCCTCCTGAACTAAGTCTTTATACCTGTGACACAAGTTGCTCTTCTTTTTCAAAGTTGACTTATATAATCTTGAGTTTTTATTTATCAATACATATCTTAGAATGAGATTTTTCAGGTTCCTAATAAAACAGCTGTAATTTTGGCTGGAATTGCTTGTAATTTATGGATTTATTTGTGGACCGTTGACACATTTTATATACTATGTTGTTGCATCCATGAATGCTAAACTTACTGAGTATAGTGGATATTATCATCTCTCACTCAGATCACTTTTAATAACTGAATCAGATTCCTCCAGCAGCTAGGAAAGTTGAAGCCTGGGGGATCTCAGCTGAATCCCTCTCTGGAAATTGTCCTTAGATGAAAAGAGCTGCCGCGCCCAAGCCACACCCTTTCCTGAGGAGATGCAGGGTCATAAAAGCCTGGTCCTCTTGACTCAAGCTGGCACAACTCAAAAGGGTCTACCTACTGCCAGAGCTCAATTCCTCTGCTGCAACTCTGTCGCAGTTCCCCTTCTCCCTCTGCTCAATCCTGCATCTTTCATCCTTCAAAGGAGTTGTTCTTGAAAGTCTTCCCCAATAAATGTCCTGCACTCAAGTATCAGAATCTCAGAGCGTATCTCCTGGGGAAGCTGAACTATGACAGTCTTCTGCAGGAAAATCCTTGAGTTTTGGGGGATAAGTTTAATCAACAATATAATTATTTAGATCTACAACAAGCCTTCTGATATATATTTGGAAGTAAGTAAAATGATATTTTATTTCCATTTTTCTCATTCTTGTCTGTTGCACAATATGCTTTGATCTTGTTTGGAAGACAAAGATGTTATTTATTGGCTTCCTCAAAACCCACCTTTGAATGCCTGATTATGTCTTACTCTGTCCTCACTCTTGAAGGTTAGTGAAGAGTATTCTGGATGATATTTTTATTTACTCCTATTATTAAGAAATAACTGCATTGTCTTTTGATATGCATTGTTTCTGATATGATGTCAGCTGTCAATCTAATCATTGTTCCTTCATCGAAAATCTTTCAATTCACTAATTCTCTCTTCATGATGTCCAGTCCAGAGTTTATTTCAGGGATAATATTTTCAATTTCCACAATTTATAATAGGCTCATTTGCATATCCATCTTCCTCTAATCAAAATTTGATCACTTTGGTTCCATAATTTTCTTTCCATTTACTATTAGTATTATTCCTGTATCTTTGAGGATCTTATAGTAGCAGCAGTTGCAGCTTTTTTTTCTTCTAATTTTCCTCTTAATTATGGCCTGGTCCCAGTTGTGCAATTATCTGCCTCTACGTCCCCAGCATAAGTAAGTTGCCTTCATTCCCCAACACTCTCGGCCTTCAATTATCCCAGTATCCATCCTTTTGGCATAAATTCCTGATCCCTTCCCCTGTGTCTACTCTCAAACACATATAAAATCTATGTGTTTTTGTTCTACTACCATTTATCTTGTTTTTCTGTTCAGCTGTACCTTTTTAATATGAAAAAAAGCATTTATCATTGCTATGTTTGTCATATAGTTGTATGTAGTATAATATAGTGGGATATGGAAGAAGGAAATTAATGTCAGAGCATTAATCTCATAGAATCATTGTGATTAGTAATCTACCCAATCCATTTCCATTCATTTTTAGAAGTATAATAATAATTAAACATAATATCACTTTTTTTATCCTGGCATTCCTGAACACTTTAATATTCCCCATTCTTGCTCCAAAGTTGCCACTCAACATTCTGTGTGAAAGTGTTAATCAGTAATATATGCGGTGTTAATAGACTGAAGTACCAATTTTCCTATGGCAATCTACACGCCACTCTGCCAGGAAGGAAGGAAATATTTGCTGAGTGATTATTTCAAATCTGTGCATAGATTCTACAAATATTTTCATAAACACATTGATTACAGCTATTGCTGTAATTTTGCTCCATCTTTCGGGAAAACTCCTTGAATGAGTGTTCATGAGAATAATGACTATAACTGCTCTGGATACCATAATACTAGTTTCCAATAGAAAGTTCATTATCTTTTTATACTAAATTCTACATGGTAAGCTAAATTATAATCAGTTTTCTTGGCAAATGTGGAATCTGAGCGAGGAGTATTAGTTGGTTGATATAAATGGAAGGTGTCATAAAGTTAGGGTCACCTGATACCTCCATTTTCACCTGCCCAGGAATCCACATACTTCTGTCGTTAGTTAGGGTACTCTCTTCTCTGGAAATTTCTGGAAACACACTGAAAATTTCATGTCTTGTGGGCTCCTTTTTTCTAGACTCCATATTGGCCATTCTCCTTCTGTTGACATAGTCTTCCTTCTAATAGCATATAGTACAATTGACTTTAGCAATGCACACACAGTTATATTGTCTAGAGTCTACAATCTGGTTACCATGTTTAGAACTTGGCTGTTCTTAAAGCTCCAATAATTTACACTTTATTACTTAGAGTGGCTGAGTTCACAGTTACTTGTTAACTTTTATCTGGCTTGATTTTCTGAGTTGTGAAAGTACTTTGCAGTTTCCCTCAAGTATCTTACTCTTCTAAAACATTCAAGAAAGTAATATGATAATGCAATTTCCTGAGTAATTTTATTTTAATTATGTAGCATGCTAATATTTTTAAATCTCCCATATAGAATTAATATATAAAGTAATATATTTTAGAGTTATATTACAAATCAAGAAAACATGTTATTTTAATAGATAGCATTTTGAGATTACCCCAAATAGATACAGTTGTGATATTTTCATAATTTTTACTAATTATGGACATATTTTAAAGTACCATTTATTGAGTACTGATATCTACAACATTTTTCTGTAACTTTAAACACATTTCTTACCACAAGCTGAACTCTTCCACCATTAAGTACGTCAGGATCTAACTCGGGCAAGAAGTGATTGCTGCATAGTGATGAAAATAGAAAGCATATTATTATAGAAATGTAGAGGAAGAATGTGAAAGAAATGCCCAATAAAAAGCTTGAGAGAAATCAATAACTTACAAAATGGAAATAATAGTTTTCCTAATTCAGGTTACATGCAAAGATCTATACAAATTTACTTCTTTCCATAGTCATTTTAAAATTTAATTTGACATAAAATTTAAATTTCTAAATAACACTTTAATGCCACAATTCTTTGCCAAACATAAAAGAGCAAAAATTTGAAAGTACAAATAATGATAGCTAATAAGTTATAGAAAAATAAATATTTTATTTACATTTACTTATGTATCTTGTCTTATGAGAAAAGCAAAGCTTCCTATTTTAAAAATAGCTCTAGTGTGTTTAACTCATTAAATACTAAATACTAATGCTCACAATTAACTTTTGTTTAAAACTAGAACATTGATATTTGGCTTTTCAAGAACTGCTGTTCTTAAAAACAATTTTTCTTAAAATATTACTACCCTTTCCTTTATATATTATAGTTTCAAAAGAGAAAATCCATGAACAATTGCCTGTTACATCATATGTTTAAATGTAACTTACTTAGAAGGGATATTGTTAAATGTTTAAACATATCTAAAATACATCCTGAAATATTTTGCTTATATTTTTCACATTATCTATACTAATGCTCTTAAATTTCTGAACCAGACCTCTTATATCTGGTTAATATAGATGGTAAGCTATGGGTTATATTATATTTGTTTTTAGTTCTAAGAATGTCATCTTATAAATTATGCTAAATTGATAAAAATCAACATAAATAAATTGTGCTTGCATTAATTAGAATACTTAGTAAAATAAAAAATCCTCAAATGTTGATATTATGCTAAATTGATAAAAATCAACATAAATAAATTGTGCTTGCATTAATTAGAATACTTAGTAAAATAAAAAATCCTCAAATGTTGATCACTTTATTTCTCCTTTCTTTGATCACAATGAAATAGAAAATAACAATCCAGATTATTAAATGTTATTTTAATTTTACTTTCATTCTTTTTTTTAATATTTTTAAAAGAATTACATAAATAGAATTGACCACATATGAAGGTTTCAATTCATACATATTATAAAAAGGGACTTCATTTTTTTTACACAGTTTAACTTGCTGCTAAATTAAATTTTAACCCTCATAATTGTAGGATCTGGTTTGTTTGTTTGTTACTCATTTAAATAGTTATTACTCACAATGCCTGGAAACGTTTCCAAAGTGTTACCTACATTTAGATTCAATATCAGCTTATATACTTAACAAACACTTATAACAGCACTTTTTGTTTTACTGTTTTGTGGATATATGTAGCTAAAATGAAAATGCTGAAAATCCATGTCAAAAATATTATCTCTGGACTTTTATTTCCTTAAAACTTTGGTTCAGTAGTTATGTGCATACATGCTTTATATTATGTTGTTATGGGCTGAATTTTGTTCTCTCAAAATTCATATGTTGAAGTCCTAATACTCATACTTCAAAAAATGTGACTGTATTTGGATATAGGACCTTGAAAGAGTAAAGTAAAGTAAATGAGGTCATATGGGTGGGCCCTAATCCAGTATGACTGGTGTCCTTAATAAGGAGAGGAGAATAGAACACAGACAACACAGACTGAGGGAGGATCATGTGAGGACACAGTGAGAAGGTGACCATCTGCAAGCCAAGGAGAGAGGCCTCCAAAGAAACCAGAATGACTAACTCCTTGATTTTGGACTTGCAGCTTCCAGAATTGTGAGAAAATAAGTCTCTGCTATTTAAGCCAATCAATCTGTGGTATTTTGTTACGGCAGCCCTAGAAACTAATGTAACAAAAATTAATTGATTACCTATTAGGTTCAAGGCACCTTGTTTGTTGCTAAGGGATAGAAACATTTGATATCCTCAACCTTGTGAGCTCACCTCTCTCCTGTGAGATAAAGATCTTATCATCTCACTTTATATCGGAGAGGAAACTGAAGCATTAAGATATCATTGAAAATTAGTTATACGACTAGTAAAGTAGCAGTGTCAGGGTTGAGTTATCATCTTAACTGTCAAACATAAATGATAACAAAAATAACAAAATAAAATACAACCTCCAATACATAGGATATTCATAAACATTAATGGATACCATGCATTTTACTTTATAAGGTAGAATCATTCGTGTGATTCAACTGTTGATATTAAGCATTACAGAGACAGAGTTCTCAAACATTTTAGGGTGAAAAATATAAAGAGTGATTAAATCTATTCTATATAAGAGGCCTTTTTATAAACTGGTAATGTGGTGTATTGGCCTTTGGCTATAAAGCCATGTTTGTTTTAGCACAATTAACCTAGGTTTCACTTTTCAAGAAGTGTTTACAATACAAAAATCTAATTTAAAGGAAATGACCTCACCATTTCATATTTCTGGAACTAGTTGTTTCATGAACCCCAACCTGTGTGTGAAGCCACTGGTATGTATATTCTTTACTCCTTTCTAATTTTTCATTTGCAGTGGTATCCTTGCAGATAAATTCCTCCTCCTTACCTGGGGAAGAAATATGGAATAGTTATTTGTTATTTAAAGAGATCAAATTTTGGCCAAGCAGTCCAGTCTAGGCTAACAATTTTATCACAAGAAAGAAAAAAGAAAAGATTAATTCATGGGAGCAAAATCATCTGTAAGAAAAATAATGTCACGCACTTACAGGTTAAGTATTTTTCCTGTTTGAGTTTTAAACCCACCTATTTTGAAAAACAAAGGAAAAGTTTTAATGCAACCAACATTTTATAAGGCTTGTTTTTTAATTAGAAAATGCAAAGACATTTTTGGTAGACAGTAGCATTCTAGTATAAAAAGAATATCTGTGCACTATGATGTCTCTTCAGGCTTATTTTAAGGTCCAATTTTTCTTATACTAGCCTTATCCATACGAAGAGTTTATAAATTATACTGAGGTTATTTGAAACAGAGTTTTTATTTTACATAAAGTGCAGCTTGTTTTGTGTAAGCTAATACAACATTTTAAGCTAGAAATCTAATTTATATCAGGTTTAGAGAATCTGTGGTTATGCCAGAGCAGCTATTTCAAAGATGGAGGGGGGAGCATGACAATGAAGTTGGGAGTGGAAATTATGCAAGAGGAGAAATTATGCAAGGTAAGAATGCAAGGTAACAAACATCAAAGAAAACAAAATAGAAAATAAAAAGAAAAATCCAATCCTTAGATTCAAATGTAAAATTTACTATACATATGTTTGTGTTTTTTAAAAAATCTGCAGACATTGCCGCTATGTCAATGACATGCATTTCAGAGTTATACCGAGGGCCTGTTGGTTTAGAGCCTTCCTCCATAGACTCCATCTTTAGACTGCTTCTTTTTTGATGGCATCACTGTATTTAGGGACTTGTTAGCTTTGCAGGCCTGACTGACAGTACACCAGAGAAATGCACCTCTTGAAAACTAACTGGTAATCAAACTCACAAGAATCCTATAATCTAAAACATGATATTTCAAATGTCAATTTATTACTTTAACTATTCATTCACTATAGATCATAGAAAGTTACCTTTTATTTGCAAATTATTTGGAAAACAAATGAAGCATGGTGCAAACTCTATTTTGAATGCTTGGTGCATGTGCACACACACCCTCATACATGTCCACACAAGCTTATTTGTCATTCTTAATATGTTGAGGATGATACATCTATCATTTCTTTTTTTTACCTTAAAAATTGCTGTAGCAATTAGTGAAATGATTCTAATTTTCAATCCAAAGAGATATTGGAGCCAGTTCTCAGGAAAGCTAAAAATCAGAATGTTTATTTCTCTAAACTCTGTGTTACTTAGTAAAGTTAACTTCCTATCAGTTTTCATGCCAACTTATGTTTCTGAAACAGCCACATCCCTTGCATCCTGAGCTTAAGCCAACTCCTCCATAGCTGCTATATTGGAAGAACAATTACTTCCCATGAGAGGAGGGGAGACCATTGAATCCATGAGCAGACACCATGTTGATAAATGGCCTTATGAGTATACAGAAACTATAAGGGACACTCAAACAAAGGGAAGATCTGGCATTGTCACACTCAGTTACCACACAGCATTAAGTCTCTTCTCCAGCAGAATCCCAGCTTTTTATCTGCCTTTCACAGCTGCCCAGATCAGATGTTGGCCCCATGTGTACAGTGACAGAAGATAGTGAGGACTCTGACCCAGATCATCAACTGAGCCCACAGTTGGAACCTTACCTCCTGTTGATATGTATCTTCTGTACAGAGAATCCTTCCGTAACAAGTGTACCTTTAGCTAAAAGTAAAAATTATCTCTTTCTTTCTGTTTTTAAAAATAGTGACATATATTTGCAATAGTCACTTTTTAAAGTACTTATTTTGGAACGTTTTCCTCAACTCTGCAATAATACTCCATAAACCCTAAGTGGTTTTACATCTAAACTCAGCCAAGGTTCTAAACAACAATCCTTGAGGAAAGATGACAAATTTCAGTGCAAGGTCCAATTCACATTAGCCATTTCACCCTAAGGTGAATAACTTTTTACCTTCTCCTCCAGTTACTCTTCTCTTTCTCCTTCCCTAATTAGATAAATTTCTTGAAATAGTAGACAAAGCTCAGTCTTTGTTGACTTATTGCCATTCATGCATCAGCCCACTGCCATGTGGCTCCCTCCCCATACCATTTCACTGGAACTGTTCACACTGAGATCACTAATACTGCTAAATCTTTGGGATTTTTTGAAGTTCTTATCTTACTGACTCCTCTATAATATTACACACTGTTGTTCACTCCTTCCTTCTTAAAAGGCTTATTTCCTTTGGATTTTGTGTCTTTGCACTCTCCTTGTTTTTCTCTGACCTTTTGTCGAAACCCTATTTTCCTTCAAGGGCACCTCTTCCCTTGTCATTCCTTCCAATCTCAGCATTCTTCTCTGGGGTTCTATCCTGGCTCCATCTTTTTCTTACGCTATACTTTCCTGTATGAGGATATTCATTCAAGTTCTTCAGTCACTTCCACATCTTCTGAAACATGTATCCATCCAAAGCCTCTCCATTTAAGTATCCCAGAGATAATTTAACGCAAGTATGTAAAGAAGCTTAACCTATGTATTATCCCACCTTTTCCAAGTTCCTATAATGCTACCACCATCGTCAGTGTACAACTCAGAAACCAGAGTGTTCTACTGAACCAGCATTCTTCCTCATCCTCCAACTGCATGTTTTACCTCCTAAATTCTTTTCAATCTGTCGAATCTCCTGTATTCCCATTGCCACTATTTTAATTCAGGCTACCATAATCTCTTCTGAATTACTGTAACAGCCTTTTCACTGCTTTTTTTACTTTTGGTCTTGCTCCCATGTATATATCTCCATACTGCAAATGGTCTTGATAAAAGTACAAATCTAATTGTGCTATTTCATAGGTTAAAATTCTGGTTCTCCATTGCCTTTGGATAATGTTCAAAATTTTTTGGATAGCATATAGGCCTCGAATATACTTTTGGACACATCTCTTCAACTCCTGATTCAATCACCCAGATATTATAATTACTAAAATTGGTCTTTTTTGCCTATAGACCTCATGCTTGGGATTATCTACTTTATCAGTGTTGTTCCTACTTTAGGTCTTCAGGTCTCAGTTTAGAAATTGCATTCTTTGGGGTAAGCCCCTGGTCTCCCAACACTGCATTCTTTGTTCAACTTAGGTTAGAGATGTCCTCCAAAAATCCTGTAGAGACCCCACAATAGGATTTATTACGTTGTATTTTACTTTCTGATTCATGTGTCTGTTTTGCCTACTAGGATAAGTCAAGTGGTACTTAGTAGGATGGTGCTCAACAAATATTGGTGAAATAAAGGAATAATTTTCATAGCTGATTAATATTCTCTCAGTGCCCTGAGAAATGTGGAGCTGGAATTTAGATTTTAGAGGAACATGTGCATTGTGGAGAATAACACATATTTAAACATGATTAATTATTACAATAGAAATTTCAGCTCTGAAAGTCAGAATTAGATTGGGATAAAAATTGACAACTAAAGGTAGCAAATTAAAAAACAAAACAAACCAAAAAATCCTCCATCATATAAGGCTACTTTATACAACGTCTACAATGTACACAGTCCTAGAGGAAAGCAGTTCAGCCTTAAGAATTTCACGAAACGAAATGAAGTTTTTTTTTTAATTAATGGAAATATTTTTCTTTTCTTCATAAAGAGAAAAATAAGTGTTCATTAAGCCCATATGCTTCAAATAAATCAGTTTTCTAAATTTTCAATATAGCCTAATATACACAGGGAGATTAAGATTCAATTATCATTTGTATTTTTAATACATATGGCAGCTTTCCCCTGACTATTTTCTTTTCCCTTAATGGCCTTTCTCGGTAATATAATAACAAAATACTCTTGGTTTCATGGATGGAGATGAGTTCATTTCTTTACCAAAAGCTTTTGGAGGATATGGTTGCCGGCTGAGCAAAATGCTTTTACATGCGATGGAAATATTTTTGCTAACTTTGATAAATGGCTGGTTCTATGTATCTTATGCTGGAAATACTAAAAATATGATTTACATTATAAAGTATAAGTGGCTTGTATCTGTTTATTAAAAGAAGTTATTGCATCATACCTCACAAATAAAGCACAAATAAAATTGGGAGTCTGGCTTAAATGTTACACTAACAGAATTTGAAATTCATTAACATCTGTATAAATACTTGTTGATAGGCTGTTTATAGCTTCTTCCTTAACCAATCCAATCTGTTGTTGGAAAGTTGACAGCGCTGGCATGAAACCAATAACTCTCTAAGAGCCATTTGTGTGTGACAAGCAACATCCCTATTCTTTTAAAATATGTTTAAATATATATGTAATTGATCACTGAGGAAAAATGACTTCATGAATAAAGAAGAGGATTGTTGGTGAAAAAGTTTAAAAACAGAAATTTTGGGAATCGAGCCAAAGCTGTACGTAAGGGTCGAAGGCTAACTGCCCCACTGATCACTCCTTTACATATTTCACTATATTTTATGGCAGAGAGGGTAAAAAAAAATACTAGAATGAAAAATACTTGCTAGTTTCTGACATTTGAATTAATTTTCAAAATTTGTCTGTTTAGGAGTTGGGTAGTACATAAAGTGTATGAATGACCTCTACAAAAGCAAAGAAAAATAAAAGTGAGTTACTAAATCATATCCTTAAAAATATATGGATTTTGCAGACACAATTTTCAATGTTATGGAATTGCTAGATTTAAGTGAAACCCTCCGGAAAACAGAAACATCCTTTTACAAAGTGGGTGTAGCTGTGCTTATTAACCAGCTATAGTAAGTGTTCTGTATTCAACTTATGTATAATTCTACCTGAAAGCATATGTTTTGCCATTTGTATTGTTCAGTTGAGCTGTATCTCCTCATTAATATCTTTATAGTGAAATAGCAAATACTACATAAAGAGTGATTCTTTGGTTTATTCTGTGAGAGCCACATAACTCAAGAAAACTGCAGTTTGTTAAAGTCAAAATGTATAATGTGTCTCCATGTTTGCTGTTAACCAGGGCTGGGACTAGGGTAAGGCAAGTTGGACAAATGAGATACTTGCCTTAGATACAAAATTTAAGGTGGTGCCAAAAAACTCATTCATCAATGTAAACAATATTTTAAAATAAAAATTAATGCAAAATCCATTATGAACAAAATATCAAAGTTTTAAATGACAAGATCAGTAACAGCACTGTGCCAAGCTCTGCTGGAGCCTGAGGTAAAAGGAAAAATTACTAATACTGATCCGTCTCTGCCATGGTATTGGCAGATTGGTCCATTTCTATCTAATACTAATACACATGTCAACAGGATATTCTTTTTAGAACTACCTAGTAGCTATTGTCTAAGATTGCTTTCTACTGTTTCCTGTCAATCTGGCACACCATTTAATTTTCCACTAGAAGAGGCTGTATAATTGTGACATGTGAGAGATTAGTTATAGAATGAGTTAATTCAGTCTATAAAGGAAAGGTGATACCTTATTCATCTTTCTATCTGCCTAGCAACTAACTTGCACATAGTAAGTTGACTTTTTCACTTACTAGCTGTTTAATGTTGGGAAAATTATTTACCTTCTCTCTGCCTCAGTTTTCAATCCTCTTAAAATGTGTAAAACAATAATGTAAAATAATAGAACACCTATAATGCCTAACATATAGTGAGGATTTAACAACTGTAGCCGTTTTTCTATTGTTTTTTTAAACAGTGTGAAGTGAACTCCATTATGCATAGCCTTAATGTCATCTCAATTTCCATAGGCTAAGATTCAAGCACCCTGCAGTGAGACAATCTGCAGAAGTTTCTAAATCTAGGCCAAGATCAAGGTGGCAGGAGAGGAAGATTCCAGGATTAACCACAAAACTAGACAGAACAATGTTCTGGGGTGAGTCCAGGAAGTCCTCCTTACCAGAATTCTAAATCTTTAACAGGTATTATTTAAAGGTATTTTATGTCATAATATGTGAGGATTTTAGTGTGTCTTTAATAAAGAAAAATTAATTTCCAAAAGATAAGAAGAGTACACAGCCCTAATTGATTTGAAGTTATTTCAAATAATTTTTAGCAATTGCTCAGTAATAACCATGAAGGAGGCTCCATTGACATGATTCTCTCCTGTTTCACTCTCTCAATTTAATTATCCTTGGAAAATATTCCTCTATCCAACCTAGACTCCCTCAGGGAGTGTTAATATAGTAGGTCATCCAAACTAGGGCCCACCCCAATAGAATAATGGAGAGTATGATGATGTAAGTAGGTTGGCTTTCAAAATAACATGCTCATAATGGCCACATAAATGTTACTGCCACATGTTATTTGTTTATTTGTTTGTTTTTTGGTATAGTTTTAGACTTTATGCTCCTGCCATATCTAAAAGTTTCTACTCTTTGGTAGAAAGACATCTGTAATTCTACTCATTCATGTATATTTATTAATTAAGGGACAAGTAGATGGTTTATTTCCTTTACTAGTTTCATTACAAGAGAAGCCAGTAAGTGGCATGATATTGATACATTGGTGTTAGAAGCTTGATGAACCCAATTAAACATTTTTTTATATCATTGTGTGACTTTTTTCATAACTATGAAACAGAAATGCTCATAGCACATATGTCTATACATTCATAATGCATTTCTCATTGTCTATTAATTTTCTGTATCCAATGATTTCTATATTTGTCAAACTGAAGAATACAGATATACTTCTGTTACAGAGATATCACATGAAATACTGAATATATATTAAAATATTTCTTGCATTATAAAAAGCAATAAGTAAATGTAAGCAAAAATAATTTTCTTTCACAATTTGAGTGACAACACATTAGAGACTAATAAACCTGGCCCCAAACTTATTGTTTTCCATAGGCAGTAATTTAAACAAGTATCCCCATAGCCTGCTGAAGATTTAAAAGTTTTCTAAGTGGATACTTCATTAATACAAAATTTTATCTTTTATTACATTATCTTTAGAAAGATAACATTTTATGTAGAAGAACTCTATTTGAAAATGGATCAGGGCCTCCACTCACGGATTTCAGTTTTAATTGAAAAGACAGGTTAAAAGCATTACTTATCCATTCACACTCTAGTGGAGACAGAAGTCGACACAGGCATTATAGGTCTTCCCTACAAAATTAATTCTTAGCTTTAAACTACTCATATAAATATTGATCTCTGAAGCTCTTTTTTTGGAGTGGGAGTTGGAGTTGGAGTTGGAATTGGGGGTGGGGTATGAAGCTAGAAGGGCCCTTAATTAGGCAAGTCATCTCACTTACCAGACCCTTTGTTTTCTCATTCATGAACATAAGAAAGAAAAGCAAAACACTTCGTGACTATTCCTATCATCCTTGTGCAGGGACCATGCTAATCCCCATATCATTCCAATTTGAATAGATGTGCTACCAATGTGAGCAATGGAAGCTCTTTTTAATCACTTTTATTTTCTCATGATATATACAATATACACAAAATATTGCACATAGCAGGTGTTTATAATTTTAAGATTTATAAATAAAATACATTATAAATATAGAAATAATTATAGGAATTATATATTACATAAATTGCATTTAAAAGATTTAAAATAATTATGTAAATAAAACTATTATAAATAACTATGTCACGTGAACCCTGCTCATTAAAAAAAAAATAGAACACCATACACCAGAAGGCCTGCTCAAAAATCCTTTACTTCTCCGGGGGCTAACCACTGTGCTGAAGTTTATAACCTTGATTTTCCTGACTTCTTTTATAATTTTTACCACCTATGTATTAAGCAATATAGTGTAGCCTTGTTGCTTTTGAACTATACATAAATAGAACAATTCTGGAGTTATTCTTTTGTCTTCATTTATTCAATATTGTTTGTGACATTCATCTATGCTTCTGTGTTTAGATCTAATTTTTAATTTTTTATTGCTGCACTGTATTCCACTGTATGGATGTATTGAGTTTATTCACTCCATCGTTGTTGGCCACATGGGGAGTTTCCAATGTTTGGCTGTTAAGGACAACACTGCTCTGACTATCCTCGTACAAGAGCTTCTATAGGGCAAATATCTAGGAGCGTAATTGAAGGACTATATGATATGCATATCTTCAACTCTACTGTAATGTCTAATTGTTTTCCAAATGTTTATACCAAATTATATGCCAATCAGCAAAATAATAAGAGTTCCATTGGTTTACATATTGTCCAACACTTAGCTTTGTTAGGCATTGTTTCTTTTTAATTTGCAGTTTCACTTTGCATTTCTCTGCTACCAAATGAGATGAAGCACCTTTTTATATGCTCACAAGTTAACTGGGTTTCTTCTTTTGTGAAACATATTTTAAGGGCTCTTGTTTTTCTTTTCCATTAGGCTGTATGTATTTTAATGATTTTTAGGAATTAGTTATATATTCTGGATATGAGACTTTTGTTAGTTATAAGTGTGGCAAATACCTTCTCCATCTCTACAGGTTGTCATTTCACTACTATTATCACATTTTTGGATTTACAGAGATTCTTAATTTTAATGTAAATATATTTATCAACATGACCAGTACTTTTTACATATTTTTAAAGAAATAATTCCATATCATAGGTTATGAATACATTATTCTGCATTATCTTCTGCAACTTTTATATTTTTGCTTCTTACATTTAGGTCATTAATGTAGCCAAAATTCATTGTTTTAGTATAGATAATTGTTTAAGTAAGATTTATCAAAAAGTCTATCTATTCCCCACTGATTTAGAACACAATCTCTCTTATAATATCAGTTAAACATATATGCATGGGCCTCTATCGGTTGTCATTTTCTATACTACTTTACTCTATTTCACCCTACCTTGCCCTACAATTACTAGCATACCATACCATACATCCCATCCCATCCCATCCATCCCATACAATACCATACCACATCACACTATATTCATTGTCTCATTTGCTTCAGCTCTATAATAAGTTGTGGCGTTTGGCAGCTTTGCCCACTTTATTCATCTCTGTTGAGTGTGTTTTGGCTGTTTGTGGATTTTGATTTTCCTTACAAATTTTAGATTCTGCTTGTTAACTTTCATAAACAAGTACCTTTTGGGATTTAATTGAAATTGTATAGCATCTATAAGTTAATTTGGGAAGAATTTAAATCTTTGAAATTTAGTCTTCCAATTCATGTGTATATTTGCAGTTTTTCTACGACATTTTTGATAAAGTTTTATGATTTCCTCCATAAAGTCTTGCCTACTTTTTGTGAGACACATTCTTCAGTATATGATTTAAAAAAACCTATCACACATTGCAGTTTTTTTTCTTTCTCGGTTGATTGCCTATAAGCTTAAGTTTAAGATTAGATTTAAGGTCAGTTTTGGTAAGTTACATTTTTCTAGGAATTTTTCATTTCCTCCAAATTTTCAAATGTATAGCCATAAAGTTGTTCACAATATTCTCTCACTACAGTTTTAAGTCTGTATCATTTGTCTTCTCACCCTGTTTTCATTCCTGATATTTCTACTTGCACTTTCTCTTTTATTTTCATGATTAGACTTTCGAGGGATTCATCAAATTAAAAAAAATTATTGTTGCATTGTTTGACATTTTTTCTATTTCATTAACTATTGCTCTGATACTACAATATGTAGATTATTTTATCGTTCAGTTATTTTTTAAAAAATTTCTTTATGATTTCCTTGACTCATGAATTTTTTAGATGCTTCTTAATTTCCAATAAAGTGAAAATTTTCTAGTAATAGTATTTCATTTATAGTTTATTAGCATTATATTCAGAAAACAAATTGCACATGATTTCAGTCTAAGTTAAAGTTTTGTAAACGTCCTGTGTGTGCTTGAGGATAATGTGCATTCTCCAGTTGTTCAGTATTCTATACATGTTCTTTAAGCAAATGTTATTAAATTGGTTTATCAAATCATGTCCTTGCTGATTTTTTTTTAATTTATTATTTTGTTTTGAGGAAGATTACCTCTGAGCTAACTCCTGCCAATCCTCCTCTTTTGGCTGAGGAAGCCTGGCCCTGAGCTAACATCCATGCCCATCTTCCTCTGCTTTATATGTGGGATGCCTACCACAGCACTGCTTGATGAGCAGTGCCATGTCCTCACCCGGGACCCGAACTGGCGAACCCTGGGCTGCGGAAGTGGAACATGCGCACTTAACCACTGTGCCACCGGGCCAGCCCCCCTTGCTGATTTTTTAAGTGCCTGTTCTACAAATTACTGAGAAAGATATATTAAAATTCTCCCAATTTAGTTTGGAATTTTCAAGTTCTCCTTGGTGCTTCTTTGGTCTTTGCTTTATATTATTAAAATTTTTTTAAATTAATAACAATTCATTTTTTATACCAGTTTTAGACTTAAAACAAAATTAGGAGGAAGGTAGAAAGATTTTTCCATATACTCCCTGCCCCCACACATGCAAAGCCTCCCTCATTATCAACATACTGCCCCCTCCCAGTGGTACATTTATTATAATCAGTGATCCTAAGTTGACACATCATAACCGCCCAAAGTCCATAGTTTACATTAGGGTTCATTCTTGGTGCTGTAACTTCTATGGGTTTGAACAAATGTATAATGGCATGTATCCATTTTTACAGTAACATACAGAATAGTTTCACTGCTCTAAAAATCCTCTGTGCTCTCCCTGTTCGTCCCTTCTGCCCTGCCCCAAACCCTAGCAATACTAATCTTTCTACTGTCTCCATAATTTTGCCTTTGCCAGAAAGTCAGATAGTTGGAATCATACAGTATGTAACCTTTTCAGATTGGCTTCTTCTCTTAGTAACATGCGCTTAAGGTTCCTCCATGCCTTTTCATGGCTTCGTAGCTCATCTGTTTTTAGTGCTGAATAATATTCCATTGTCTGGATGTACTTCAGTTTATCCATTCATCTACTGAAGGACACCTTGGTTGCTTCAAAATTTTAGCAATTGTGAATAAAGCTGATACAAACATCTATGTGCAAGTTTTTGTCTGGACATAAGTTTCCAAATCATTTGAGTAAATACCAAAAAGTGAGATTGCTAGGTCATTTGGTAAGAGTATGTTTAGTCTTATAAGAAACCTCCACACTGTCTTCCAAAGTGGCTGTACCATTTTGCATTCCTACCAGCAATGAATGAGAGTTCTGTTGCCCCCCATCCTCAACAGGATTTGGTGTCATCAGTCTCTGGGTTTAGGCCATACTAATAGGTGTGTAATAGTATCTCATTGTTGTAATTTGCATTTCATTGATGGCATAGGATGTAGAGCATCCTTTCATACGCTTATTTGCTATCTGTATACCTACTTTGGTGAACTGTCTGTTAAGGTCTTTGGACCGTTTTTTAATCAGGTTGCTTGTTTTCTTCTTGTTGAGACTTAAGAAATTTTTGTATATTTTGGATAGCAGTCCTTTATCAGATAAGTGTTTTGTAATATGTTTTCCCAGTCTGTAGCTTGTCTTCTCATTCTCATGACATTGACTTTAACAGAACAGAAATTTTTAATTTTATTGAAGTCCAACTTATCAGTTACTTCTTTCATGCATTATGCTTCTGGTGTTGTGTCTAAAAAGTCATAGCCATACCCAAGGTCATCTAGCTTTTCTCCTGTGTCATCAAGCAGTTTTAGAATTTTCATGATTTCTTTTTCTTTTTCTTTTTTGAGGGAGATTAGCCCTGAGCTAACATCTACCACCAATCCTCCTCTTTTTGCTGAGGAAGATCAGCTCTGAGCTAATATCTGTGCCCATCTTCCTTTACTTTATATGTGGGATGCCTGCCACAGCATGGCTTGACAAGCAGTGTATAGGTCTACACACGGGATCCGAACTGGCGAACGCCAGGCTACTGAAGCGGAACTTGCAAACTTAACTGCTTTGCCACCAGGCCAGCTCCGAGGAGTTTTAGAATTTTACATTTAGGTCTGTGATCCATTTTGAGTTAATTTTTGTGAATGGTATAAGGTCTGTGTCTAGATTTATTTATTTTTTTATTTGTAGATGTCACTTGTTCCAGCACCATTTGTTGAAAAGAATATCTTTGTTCTGTTGTATTGCCTTTGCTCCTGTGTCAAAGATCAGTTGAGCATATTTGTGTGTGTCTATTTCTGGGTTCTCTATTCTATTCCATTGATCTATTTGTCTACACTTTTGCTAATACCACACTGCCTTGGTTACTATAACTTTAAAGTAAGTTTTGAAGTTGAGGAGTCTTGGTCCTCTAACTTTGTTCTTCTTCAATATAGTGTTGGCTATCCTGGGACTTTTACTTCTCCCTATAAAATTTAGAATCAGTTTGACAATATCCACAAAATTACTTGCTGGGATTTCAGTGAATCTATAGATCAAGTTAAAAAGAACTGAAATCTTGCCAATATTGAGTCTTCCTATCCATGAACATGGAATATTTACCCATTTATTTGCTCTTTATT